TTCACAATAGCAAGAACGGGTGGCAACAGCCCTGCCGCCCATACTGAGTGAGCCAGATAAAGAAAACGGTGTGGCGGGGCTTGGTGGCTCAGTCTGTCATCCCAGCACTTTGGGAGGCTGAGGCGAGTGGATGGCCTGAGCCCATGGGTTCGAGACCCGCCTGGGCAACTTGGCAAGACCTCGTCTCTACAATAAATCAAAAAAATTAGCTGGGCATGGTAGCGCGCGCCTGTAGTTCCGGCTCCTTGGAAGGCTGAGGCAGAAGAATCGCCGGAGCCCAGCAGGTTGACGCTGGGGTGGCCGTGAGCATGTCACAGCACTCCAGCCTTGGTGACAGAGTGAGACTCCAACTCAGAAAAAAAAAAAAGAAAACATGGTGCATATACACAGTGGAGTATTAGGCAGCCATAAAGAACAAAATCATGGCCTTCACAGCAAATCGGATGGAGTTGGAGACCATCATACTACGTGAACCATCACAGAGACAAAGAACTGAACACCATGTGTTCTCACTCATAGGTGGGCCCTGACCACTAGTCATATTAGCACAAAGGTGGGATCGCTGGTCACCGGCCACTGCTGGGGAGGGAGGCATGTAACCACACACAGGGTACTTGGTCTACTGCCGGGGAGGTGAGGGCTGGTTAAAAGCCCAAACTTGGCTGGGCTCGGTGGCTCAGCCTGTAATCCCAGCACTTTGGAAGCCGAGGCAAGTGGATTGCCTGAGCCCCCAGGCTCAAGACCCACCTGGGCAACTTGGCGAGACCTCGTCTCTACAATAAATCAAAAGTTAGCTGAGTGTGGTAGAGTGCGCCTGTAGTTCCAGTTACTTGGAAGGGTGAGGCAGAAGGATCACTGGAGCCCAGCGGGTGGAGGCGGCAGTGACCGGGAGTGTGCCACTGCACTCCAGTCTGGGCAACAGAGTGAGACTCCAACTCAAAAAAACCCCCCAGACTTCACCTGCATGCAGCCTACTGATGTAGTTAATTCTCACTTGTACCCCACCTCTCTATAATGAAATAAAATTGAAAAACTAAGCCGGGTTCGGTGGTTCAGCCTGTAATCCCAGCGCTTTGGGAGACTGAGGTGAGTGGATTGCCTGAGCCTGCGGGTTCGAGACCCGCCTGGGCAACTTGGCAAGACCTCATCTCTACAGTAAATCAAAATGAAATGGGCGTGGTAGCACGCACCTGGAGTTCCGGCTATTGGAAGGCTGAGGCAGAAGGATCGCCGGAGCCCAGCAGGTCGAGGCTGCGGTGGCCTGGAGAGGCCACTGCACTCCAGCCTGGGCGACCGAGTGAGACTCCAACTCAAAAAAAAAAAAAAAAAGTTAATAAAAGGAGTGTGCAGCCTAGATCCCTCACGTGCACAGTTCACGATAGGATTTGCTCCTGTGAGACTCTCATGCCGTCACTGATCTGACAGAGGCCTCAGCTCTGCTTACCTGCCACTCACCTCCTGCTATGTGGCCCAGCTCCCAACAGGCCTGGGGATGGGGACCGCCCCGCACTAGAGAGTCGGTCAAAGGGTTAGAAGTTGGGGAAAGTCAGAGAAAATTCTCAGAGAACACAGGCTAAGACCTGAGAATGAGGAGAAATTTCCCAGGGAAAGAGTGATTGAAAGAACATTTCTCCCCTCCCCCACCTTGGGGAGGTGAATCTTCTCTCTCCCTTCTCTTCCTCTCTCTAATTTACTTTTAAATAAACTTTTCTTTCCTAACCTCTTAAAAAAAAAATTCCTATGAAAAACCCCAAAGTGGCAACCCCCTCGGGTCCCATCCCACTGTGGGAACTTTTCTGTCTTCTCAATAAAAAAATTTTAAAAACCCTGAAGTGAAAAAGAGTTTTTCATATTCATAAACTGGTGAAAACCATGGTGGCCAGGAGAGAGCAAACCATGAGGCAAATGGCAGGAAACAAGGTTCAAGACTATGCAGGGATACGTGTGTGGCTTTAAAAACACACCCGTGGCCAGGCACGGTGGCTCACACCTGTAATTCCAGCACTTTGGGAGACCAAGGCGAGTGGACTGCCTAAGCCCGCGAGTTCAAGATCAACCCGGGCAACTTAGCAAGACCCCATTTCTACAAACAAAAATTAGCCAGGCATGGTTACACGTGGCTATAGTAGGGGCTACTTGGAGGGCTGAGGTGGAGGGATTGCCAGAGCCCGGCAGGTCAATGCTGGGGTGGCCATGAGTGTGTCACTGCACTCCAGCCTGGGCGACAGAGTGAGACTTCGACTTAAAAAAATAAAACAGTGACTCGCTTAAACATCACCTCTGACAATTTGCCTCGGTCTACTTAGCAAACATCCACCTGCCTACTGTAATGTGCAAGACACTAGAAGGAGGTGACACTTTCCCTAAAAGAAGGTGAAGACCTCACTACAACCCCACTGACCATGGGCCAGGGGCCTGCAGGTGGAGTTCTTGGCTATCCTTGGCCTTGGGAGCTGGCCTGGCTCTGCCCCCTCCCCCATGGGCTGGGTCCGAGGCCCATTCTAGAAACAGGCTGGTTAAATCACATGGCCCATGACCACAAAGAACTTCATAGCTCATGGCATCAAGTAATATAAGAATATTATATTAGACCAGGTGTGGCGGCTCGCACCTTCCCAGAACTTTGGGAGGCAGAGGCAAGAGGATTGCTTGAGCCTAGGAATTCGGACCAGCCCAGGCAACATAGTGAGCCGTCTCTACAAAAAAAAAAAATCAAAAAATTAGCGGGGCATGTGCCTGTAGTCCCTGTGACTTTGGAGGCTGAGGCAGAAGGGTCACCTGAGCCCAGGAGGTCAATGCTGCCGTGAGCCTTAATCATGCCACGGCATTCCAGCCTGGGTGACAGAGTGAGACCCAACTCAAGAAACAAGTAAAATTATTAAAAAGGGCAGATGGAAGCTATAATTATGAGCATGCCCTGAGTTTGAAATTAAGCCTGCTGCAACGTTCTGATAGCACTTATTATATATTGTAACATATATATACATATATATGTATATATAATATATATCCTTCTGCCTCAGCCTTCAAAGTAGCTGAAACTACAGGCATGTGCCACCACACCCAACTAATTTTTTTTATTTTTTGTAGAAACGAGGTCTCACCATGTTGCCCAGGTGGGTCTCGAACCCCTGGGATCAAGCAATCCTCTCACCTCCACCTCCCAAAGTGCTGGGATTACAGGCATGAGCCACTGCGCCCAGCTAATCTTAGCTGTTTGTTTATAACCAAAATGAAAAATAAGTTTTACTGTGAGATGGCAAAGCAAGTTCAAATATTAACTGCAGCATGTAATAAAAACGAGATTTAAAAAGCAGATGTTGCAAGAGGGTTGCCTGCTATCTAAACATTTATCCCACAGCCGAGTCACAAATCACCTGAGCTAGGTGACGATGAGTTGAGCCCAGCATGCCCAGGACGACACTGGCTAGCATATGGCTGCCAGCAGAGCCTTTTAGCAAAGGCAAAATCAATTTCATCTCAGGAAATAGTCTCCCAGCATCAGAATGAAGAGATGCGTATTTTTCCCTTGCTTATTCCCTAATCTTTCTCTTTAGAACTCTAGCAGGGTCGGGCACAGTGGCTCATGCCTATAATCCCAGCACTTTGGGAGGCCGAGGTGAGAGGATTGCCTGAACCTGCGGGTTCGAGACCAACCTGGGCAACTTGGCAAGACCTCATCTCTACAATAGATCGAAAACTTAGCCGGGCATCATGGCACATGCTTGTAGTTCCAGCTACTTGCAAGGCTGAAGCAGAAGGATCGCGTGAGCCCAGCAGGTCGAGGCTGCGGTAGCTGGAAGCGTGCCACTGCCCTCCAGCCTGGGTGACGGAGACGCCAACTCAGAAAAAAAAAAAAAAAAAAAGAATTCTAGCAGATGTTGGGACTCAGAAAATGACACCCCAAAGTGAAGACCTCGTAAGTAAAATCTCCCTGACCTCATCCTCCCCTATGGCAAGCCAAAGAAACTTGAATTCTTCTCCAAGGCAGGTCATAGCCAGAATCCCTTTTCTCCAGTGCCAGCCATAAAGCCTAAAAATCATACTCTAACCCTTCCTTACCTTTCTGTGCAAGGGCTGGCCATCAAGAAATTCTGACCTCCCCTGTTTGGTAGTAGGCCATAAGTTCCCCCCTCGCAGACTTGCCCCACACCCAGGAGAAATGCAGCACAGACCAAGAAACTGGACCGGCAGGCCTTGCTAAGTTTCCCCATCAGGATAAGCCATTATATCCAATCACGTGCTACAGGGGTGTCCATTCCTCACCAAAACTAAGCAGGAAAAAAGAATAGTTTTCCCTGTATCTTTGAGTCTTCATTCTGGAGGCTCCAAGATCACATAAAACTGTGATTAAGTACACTTGGTATGGTTTTCCTGTTGGCCTGTCTTTTGTTATGAGAGTGTCAGCTGTGACCCTTAGGTGGATCACATACCTTCGGCCCCTACACTGACATCTCAGACTGGTTGTTTAGATGACCGACTTCGGACCGTCTTCCCCAGAATATTCCCTATGATGGTCTGACTACTGGCTTAATTCCTGGGGAGAATTATGAGTTGGACATGCTGAATTCCGAAAAATAAAGCAGAGGAGGAATTGGGCTGCACTGACAATACAGAACAGATGTATTTACCAGAACAAGCTGTGGGTTCCAAGGATTGTTAGCCAGTGTACTTTCTAAGTCCCAGAATTAATACCAAAGGGTAAGAATAAAACTAGGACCTTCTCCCAGTGGGCAGGACTGGCATGCAATTTCCTGAATGAATCAATAGACAAACAAACTTACTGCAGGGATTGTTTGATTTTTGTCCCAGGCATCTCAGAATTCTACAGTTTAAAGCCAGGTGTGGTTGACCCCTGTGCTCTACAAGTTATAAACGAAGAAGCATCTTTTAGGAAGGGATATATCATAGTAGTTCAATATGTAAGAGGTCTTGAGGTCGAGGAGGAGTCTGGGTGTGGCTAAACCATCCAACATCATAGAAATAAAGATATAAAGAACAAGAGTAATTTCTGTTGCTTTATTAAATTGTTGCTCACAGACTTCTTTACAAAAACACCATGTCCCTATAAAGTCATTCAACAAACATTGAGACCTTCCATGTATAGGACACTGATCCAAAAAGGCAGAGAATTGTGTTCCTTGTTCTTAATACAACTCCCAAATATCTAAAATTCCTAAAGGTAAATTCAGATATCTTAAGTTTTACTTCACTTACAATTCCAATTCTGCTGAAATTTTGATTGGCTATTGTGTTTGTAGTGTTATTCCTGTTTTTTGTTCACAAAAGCCTATTACTCTCTTGGTATCTAAAATATATATGTTCATATGTTTTAGATATATATATTTATATAAAACAATATTTTCAAGTGGTAAATAAATAACATTTTTAAGGAAACCAAATCAGTATAAAAGTTAAAGTTATAACACATTTGATAAGCTAATCTGAAGTTCAGACAAAGTTTTGGGTCTTCTTCATGAAAGAAACGTACGGACTGTCCCTTTGATTGTTCCTCTACAAATAGGACATTTTCTCAGAGAAGAGGCACAGTCTTTGCATACTACTAGATGACCACAAGGAATAAACACTATGGACACTTCCTGGTCCATACACACTTTGCAAGTTCGTTCTTCTTGTAGTCTGCGCAACTGTTCTTCCATTGGTAGATCTAAGAAGAGAAAAGATGTTTTCAATAAAAAGCAATCTGCTTCTCCTCCAATGAAAAACCAAGAAAGCAAAAACAATGTTTTCTACCGGTTGAAAGTGTTAATACAATTACCTGAAACATCTTCTGTGGGAATATACTTTATGTCCTGTTGCACTAAAGGAAAAAAGGACAAAGCATTACTATGACAAGTAAGGTTACTATTTAGCCATGGAACTTTTTTTGTATCTAGAAGCAAATTTATTATTTTTAGACAATGCTTATCATTATTATATCATGACACGCCAATGATAACTTGCCTTGTAGATACTTTTCCTGATCCATTAACACTTTCTGAAGACATCAGTTTTTCTCTTTTGAATACTAACTCAAGAACCTGTATTTGGCCGGGAGCGGTGGCTCAAGCCTGTAATCCCAGGACTTTGGGAGGCCAAGGTGAGGGGACTGCCTGAGCCCATGGGTTCGAGACCAGCCTGGGCAACTTGACAAGACCTCATCTCTACTATAAATCAAAAAATTAGCCAGGCATGGTAGCATGTGCCTTTAGTTCCAGCTACTTGGAAGGATGAGAAAGATCACCTGAGCCCAGCAGGTGGAGGCTGGGGTGGCCGTGAGTGTGCCCCTGCACTCCAGCCTGGGCAATGGAGTGAGACTCCAACTCAAAAAAAAAAAGGAACCCGTATTCTACAGTTTATAAGTACACGTGATAATTAAAGCTTCTTAAGTTACACCTACTTGAATGCCAAAAAAATACTTTATGTATGTAGCAAAATGTATAATTTTATAAGTATTTCATAATGGCAACTAAATGAAAATAGCTGCATTTCACAAAGCTGTCCAACGTTATTTTACATATATGTTCTCAATCACCGAGCATGTCTCAGTGAGGCTGCATTATTTTTCTCTCCTTTTACACATAACACAACCGAGGCTTGGAGACATCAGGTCACACCACTAGTATGTGGGGGATCTTGCATTTGAACCCCGCAAATCAAGTTCTAGTAGAGCTGTGCTCTTGAATCCCTCACTATTAGCACCTATTTTTTAAATGAACAGTTTTGACTTTGGAAAAATACTCGTGTCAAGTAAAGTCTTTCATCTTCTTGTGTAATTAATAGTTTAAAATTATTTTCAATAGTCACAAATTATTAATACGAACATGTTTTCAACTGATATAGAAAGTTTCCCAAAGTATCTAGCACTCACCAAATAAATGCTTGTAGAGCATAGGGTCAGTTTCTTGTAGAGAGGTTTTGAATATGGCGGCTGCGGTATTTCCTTTTACTAAAATCGTATCAATCAGTTCTCTTGCTTGTAAAGATGTCTGTGTTTTTTGTTTAATAACATCATGTTCTTGTTCATTAATTACCCTGGCAGTTAGTAGACTCTCCAAGATTGGAATCACACAAGTCAAATGTTGAAAAAGTGCCATTCTATTCTTCCGGATTAATAATAGATCATCTTTATAAAAAAGAAAATAAACGAAAACATGTTCAAACTCTGCCCACAGACTTCCTCTCATACCTACATATGTAACAGATTAAAAACAATCTTTAATTCATAATCAGTAAGATAATGTTGATTGCTAGGTTGGGAGGGACGTCATCCCTTTGTCTCCTAATCATGTTGGGTACTGCGGTTCAGCTACTTGGGAGGCTGAGGTGGGAGGATCTCTTTAGCCCAGGAGTTTGAGACCCGCCTGGGCAACACAGCAGGAAGGCATCTCAAAAAATAAATAAGTAATAATCATAATAATGAGGCTAATTACAATAAGGACAAACACTGAGCACTGTGATAAGCACTTACTCAAGTATCTCAGGAAACTCAGCCCCTGGAGCTAAGTACTAAGACCTTCACTTAGGTACTAGTACCTTCATTTAACAGATTAGAAACCAGAGACACGGGGAGGCAACTCAGTTTCCAACTGACACCCCAGCCAAAGTCGAACAGGCAGTCTGAGTCATGACCTGCGCCTTCAGCCACCCTATAGTAGAGCCCCATAAAACAGAGATCTCAATTGAATCGCGTCAAACTGGAGAAAGATAAAAATCAAGAGAACTAAAAATGTTTTTTTCTTCGATTATCATTCTTCCATAAAATGTTTAAAATTCCACTTTAAGTTGAAATTTTAACTGCTGCTCCAAATTAGATATATTGCCAGGGGCAAGTATTTTATAGTAAGAGGGAAAAGGTACTTAACAGTGTTATGAAAAATCAACTCTAGGCAACCTCTTTCAGATCCCCTCCCACTGTGGGAACTTTTCTGTCTTCTTGATAAATCCTACTTTCAAAAAAAAAAAGAAAAACCAACTCTACTTGTCAATGACTCTCCTTGTCCTACAGGTTTATCTTATTCTTCTTCGAGTTCCAGATTTAATCTATTGGTGAAATATTTATATTTTGAATTAGACTTTAATATAGTCTGTTAAATTATCTACATTAGAGAAGTAGTGGTATATTAGAAAAAAAAAATATGGCCAGGCTCGGTGGCTCAGCCTGTAATCCAGCGCTTTGGGAGGCCAAGGTGAATGGATTGCCTGAGCCCGTGGGTTCGAGACCCGCCTGGGAAACTTGGCGAGACCTCATCTCTACAATAAATCAAAAAATTAGCCGGGCGTAGTAGCGCACGCCTGTAGTTCCAGCTACTCGGAAGGCTGAGGCGGAAGGATCGCCGGAGCCCAGCAGGTCGAGGCTGCGGTGGGAAGCGGCCACTGCACTCCAGTCTGGGTGACAGAGTGAGACTCCAACTCCAAAAAAAAAAAAAAAAAGGAAAATAAAAATATAATTTAAATTTGGTGTTGACGTACATTAGCCTTTTGATCTAAGATTTACTTTTTCCAATTATGTTTTACTTAATAAGGTCTCTAAAGTTCTCAAGATTTTTTTTTTAAAGAAAAATTTATTTAAAAGTAAATTAGAGAAAGAGAAGGAAAAAAGATCCACCTCTCCAAGGTGGGGGAGGGCAGCCAAAACCAAGAAGCATGGCGACAGCCACCGCTCAAAGAGCACACGGCCACACCAGAGTCTAGCAGGGCAATGGCCCAGTTCTCAAGATACCCAACGTTTGATTGCTAGTGTTTCATTTCAAAGTCATAATTCTGGCTTATAAGCTGTGAAGACTTGAATATACCTTTGAAGCATATTATCTTTTATTCTAGAAAAAATATCCTAAATTGCCTCTATTTACACTCCTACTATTTTGAGAAAACTTAAAGTAATCAATAACCTAAATATATTTTCTCTTTTTTTTTTTTTTTGAGTCAGAGTCTCACTCTGTTACCCAGACTAGAGTGCAGTGGCACACCCACAGCCACCGCAGCCTTGACCTGCTGGGCTCAGGCGATCCTTCTGCCTCAGCCTTCCAAGTAGCTGGAACTACAGGCGCGCTCCACCATGCCCTGCTAATTTTTTTTTTTTTTTTTGTAAGAGATGAGGTCTCACCCAGTTGCCCAAGCCGATCTTGAACTCCTGGGCTCAGGCAATTCTCCCACCTCGGCCTCCCAAAGTGCTGGGATTATAGGCATGAGCCACCATGCCCAGCCCCTAAATGTATTTTCATTAAAAAAAAATCCATATTGGGCAGTAGAGATAAAATTTCGAGGTGAGTACACTAAGGGCCTTTTGTGACAATGTCAGTCATTACATATTGTTGACTTGGAGTCCTCGCTGGAGACTTTGCTGACATTCTTTGGAAGAAATATTTTAAGTGGCTTTCGACTTTGTGGGATCTCTCAGCAATTACAGAGACGAGTGTTCTCTTCTTTGAGCAATTGTCAGCTGATGCTTTGTTTTTGTTTTTTTGTTTGAGTCGGAGTCTCAACTCTGTCACCCAGGCTGGAGTGCAGTGGCACACTCATGGCCACCCCAGCGTCAACCTACTGGGCTCAGGAGATCCTTCTGCTTCAGCCTTCCAAGTAGCAAGCACTACAGGTGCACACTACCATGCCCGGCTAATTTTTTTTTATTTATTGTGGAGACGAGGTCTCGCCAAGTTGCCCGGACTGGTCTCGAACCCACGGGCTCAGACAAGCCACTCACCTCAGCCTCCCAATGGCTTTGACAGAGATGACTGCAGGAGCGACATACGGCCTAACTTTCACTTCCCTGTGAAAAAGAGAACTCGAGGAGGCTGGGCACAGGTTACTTGGCCTGTGCCGCTGTGCTGCTGGGGCGCACAGGGCTAAGTCACACTTTGGACATTTTTGTTGTGCTGTGTTACTGTGAACTGATGTTTGTTTGAGTTGGGCCGGAAGACAAATCCATCTTCATGGGCAGAGGTACGTCTATCCTGAATGACACAGATAATCTGACTGTCAGTCATCCTGGGAAGAAATAGATCCCAGGTGGCCTTGGACAAAGAGAAGAGGGATACTTTCTTCTCCTGCTGGGCTTCATGAATGTTTGGAGACCTGAGCTTTCATCAGGGAAAACGTGATGAGGACATTCCTAGCAATTTCTGTAAACTGGTCAGGGCTCCATAGACATGAACCAGAAACTGGGCAGAGAGATTTATGAGGATGGGCCGAGGGGCACCAAGACAGGCCACCTCTAATGACGGCTGTGAATGGCCATCTGGGATATAATTCCCTTCTGTTATCCCTAAATCTCCAGTAGGAGCTTGCTAAAAACTGCAGTTTGGACCGTGCTTCGTGGCTCAGCCTATAATCCTAGCATGTTGGGAGGCCGAGCGGGGTGGACTGCCTGGACTTACGGGTTCAAGACCAGCCTGGACACCTTGGCTAGACCTCATCTCTACAATAAATAAACAAATAAATTAGCTGGGTATGGTAGCATGAGCCTGTAGCTCCATCTACTTGGAAGGCTGAGGCAGAAGGATCGCCAGAGCCCAGCAGGTCAATGCTGGGGTGGCCATGAGTGTGCCATCGCACTCCAGCCTGGGTGATCGAGTGAGACTCCAACTAAAAAAACCCCAAAAAACTACAGTCTGATTTCAGCTGTGTCGAAGGGACTTTAAGTCTGGTTCACGCTTGGGAAAAGCGAAATCACCATTTCCTGTTGTCTAGGACAGAGTAAACCACAGCAGTGAGAACAGTCAGATGAGAATAGACACACCACAGGAAGAGGGTCTTTGTGAAGGGCAGGAAACCAGAGAAAGAGGAGGAGACCAGCCTAGTGTGGAGGATGTGGGAGTCTAGGAGGATGTGAAACCAGATCCTGGGACTTTATTAATTTTAATATTGGCGTAACAGTATGTCTTAGCCTATAACCATACATGAATGCACTTGCCCATGCAAGAACCAAGTTCTCCTTCAGGGCATTGCTCTGTTATTAGGATGTGAAACCAGATCCTAGGACTCCCCTAAATAACAGAGCAATGCTCTGAAGGAGAACTTGGTTTTTGCAGGGGCAAGTGATGGACTTCGTTGTAGTCTGTGATTTAATGTATGGTTATAGGCTAAGACATACTATTAAGCCAATATTAAAATTAATAATTTTCTCTGTTCCTGCCCCAATTTACCCAAAGGGGAGTGAACAACTGGCCTGAGATTAAAAAAAAAAATGTAGGCCCAGCACCATGGCTCACGCCTATAATCCCAGCACTTTGGGAGGCCAAGGTGAGAGGACTGCCTGAGGCTACGGGTTCAAGACCAACCTGGGCAACTTGGTGAGATCTCGTCTCTACAATAAAAGGAAAAAAAGAAAAAATTAGTCGGGTGTGATGGCGTGTGCCTATAGCTCCAGTTACTTGGAAGGCTGAGACAGAAAGAGCACCTGAACCCAGCAGGTCAAGGCTGCGGTGGCCATGAGCATGCCACTGCACTCCAGCCTGGGCGACAGAGTGAGACTTCGACTCAAAAAAAAAAAAGTGCCAAGAATAAATAATTGCATACAAAGTCAACTAATCAAAGAAAGAATATGAATTAAGGAAAAACAAGAAAAAAATGCTTTTGCTCAAAATCTGCATTTTCAATTTAATGAGCAACTCAAATATATGTTAATATGAAAACATGTTTTAGAATTCGAGTTTGGAAAATCTGACTGGACTGACTAAAAAGATGAACTTATTTTCATTAACTTATGTCCAGTGATATCAAATCCTTAGGAAAAGAGGCGACATTATCAAATATATTTACCCGATTCTTTTTCCTCAGTGGCTCTTTCTTTCTCCTCTTCTCTTATTTCATCTTCCGCATTAAGTAAATCCACTACCAGATCACTGACGGTTTTGTAATTCTCTCCCGTTGTTAGGATTTTACTCTGAACTGTCTGTTTTACCAGGTTTCGACTAAAGCCCATTTCCAAGGCAGATTTCACCACAGGTATGTTCATCATCACTGCATCTTCTGAAGGATTTTCTCCAGGTTCAAAATGAATAACTACATGGAACAAAGACAGCAACACCTTTTAGACAGGCTGTATGTTTTTTAAAATTGAGAACTGAACTGAAACTTAAAAACCTGAAATTTTAAAATGGAATGCTACTACCATACCAAAAACACAAAACTCAGAAGATGTGTGGGCAAGACTTTGCATGAACTTTTTTTTTTTTTTTTTGAGTTGGAGTCTCACTCTGTCGCCCAGTCTGGAGTGCAATGGCCGCTCCCGGCCATCGCAGCCTCGACCTGCTGGGCTCCGGCGATCCTTCCACCTCGGCCTTCCGAGTAGTTGGAACTACAGGCGTGCGCTACCATGCCTGGCTAATTTTTGATTTATTGTGGAGATGAGGTCTCGCCAGGTTGCCCAGGCAGGTCTCGAACCCACGGGCTCAGGCAATTCACTCTCCTTGGCCTCTCATAGCTCAGGATTACAGGCTGAGCCACCGAGCCCGGCCAAACTTTTAAAAATGTATAATGACATGGGCAACCCCACTAATGGGAGCTTCTCTGTCCTCTCAATAAATCCTGCTTACTCACAAAAAAAAAAAATGTATAATGACATACACATTCAATAATCAAAATAAGAATATTGTGTTTAGATACAAAATGTGTAATGTCTGCCATAACTGCATGTGAGCAGGAGAAGGAAACAGAATGTCAGGAATCACCCTTCATGAGAACTGAGATTCTTTTTCCCTATGGTGAGTGGGACGCATGAGCTTTCTAAATCAGATATACTTCACATTTTTGTTTTGTTTTGTTTTTGGAGTCACAGTCTTACTTTGTCACCCAGGCTAGAGTGCAGTGGCCCGCTCACGGCCACCAGTCTCGAACAGCTGGGCTCAGGTGATCCTTCCACCTCACCCTTCCAAGTAGTTGGAACTACAGGTGTGTGCCACCATGTCCGCCTAATTTTTTGATTTATTGTAGAGACAAGGTCTTGCCAAGTTGTCCAGGCTGGTCTCGAACCCCTGGGCTCAGGCAATCCTCTCTCCTCAGCCTCCCAAAGTTACTGGGATGACAGACATGAGCCACCACACCCGGCCTAACTTTCAATCTTATTAGTACCAAATGGTTTTATTTAAATGTAGTAACTTTTATTATTGTACGTACTTGGTGATTCTGGGTTTTCGTCTTCTGGAGTCTCTGATGTAGATAACAGCTGCAATAAACAATGCATGTACATTAAAATATGAATCTTACCTTCTTGCCCTTTGCAATAGAAATGGATCAATAGATCTATTTCGTTCAACTTATTACAAATAGTCTTGCTTACTGGCAAAATACATTTTTTAAACCAGAAGCAGAATTTCATTTACACTTGATGTCATTCCCTGGACCATAAACCAATAGAGTTTCTGTGTGTGTGTGTGTGTGTGTGTGTGTGTGTGTATGCAAGTGTATCAATAAATAAAATCAAATTTCATTAAGTTAGGAGAAGGGCTACACCTTCCCAGTGATCTTGGAGACAATCAGTTTTTTTCTCTCACCACCTTCCAGGGTCATCCTTTGGGGTAAGCTGAAGTCTGTGTCAGTTCTATGGCCCATGGCTGGAAAGTGTTTCACCCTCAAACAATTATGTACACCCTTATCTTTTTTTCCAAAATAGGAACAGCAATAAAATTCTCCTTCTCAAATCTTTTGAAGAAAAATTTATACAGTTAAACTATCAAGTGCTATTATCTCAGCAATTTTTTTCCCCTGAAATAGTTTAATCTACTGCAACTTGATTGGAAAAATGCTTAAAGAGAAACATCACAAGTATTATTTTCAGGAAGTTGCTAATTATGAATCCATCTTTTTCCAAAAAATAGTATTTTCTTTAAGAAAAAAATTTTTTTTTTAATCAGAATCTCATTCTGTCGCCAGGCTGGAGTACAGTCCCGACCTGCTGGACTTAGGTGATCCTTCCACCTCAGCCTTCCAAGTAGCTGGAGCTACAGCTGCACACCATCCCACCAGGCTAATTTTTCTGATTTATTGTAAAGTTGCCCAGGCTGGTCTCGAACCCCTGGGCTCAGGCAGTCCTCTTGTCTAGGCCTCCCAAAGTGCTGATATTATAGGCATGAGCCATGGCGCTTAGCCAAGAATAATATTTTCTAAGATCATGTCAGGTTTTGTAAAAAAAAAGAACATGTATTTATTTATTTTTTTTAATCAGCGTCTCACTCTGTCACTCAGGCTGGAGTGCAATGGCACCCTGATGGCCATCATAGCCTCGACTTTCTGGGCTCAGGCGATCATTTTGCCTCAGTCTTCCAAACAGCTTGAACTACAGGCACATGCCAACATGCCCAGCTTATTTTTTGACTTATTGTAGAGATGATGTCTCGCCATGTTGCCCAGGCTGGTCTTGAACCCATGGGCTCAGGCAATCTTCTTGCCTCCGCCTCCCAAATTGCTGGGATTACAGACGTGAGCCACCGCATCCAGCTAAGAACATGTATTTTTAAAACTACTCTTGTTTTTTTCACTAAAACAGGATTCTGTAATTATCAGGAAGCAATTTCTCTGTTGGTAACCAAGCATTTAAAAAAAATAATTCCTTTACCTGTTCCAGTAGATGAGGGTAACTGGCTTGAACGCGACTGATGAACTCTTGTCCTTTAATTCTTATCAAATATTCACACCTAAAAGGTAAAAAATAAAGTTTGGGGATTAGTAATAAAAGCGAAATGAAAATGTAATAACATAAATTTCTAATCCCTATGTGTTTATTCCATTTTAAGTCTGGGTAAGTGTTTGCCCCAGCTCACAGAATCATTTAAAACCACTGATTCTAAACTCCTTTTTTTTTTTTTTTTTTTTTTTGAGAGTTTTACTCTGTCGCCCCCCAGACTGGAGTGTAGTGCCATGCTCCCGGCCACTGCAGCCTTGACCTGCTGGGCTCCAGTGATCCCTCCGCCTCAGCTTTCCAAGTAGTCAGAACTACAGGCACACGTTACCACGCCTGGCTAATTTTTTATTTATTATAGAGACAAGATCTCACCAAGTTGCCCAGGTGGGTCTCGAACTCGCGGACTCAGGCAATCCACTTACCTCAGCCTCCCAAAGTGCTGGGATTACACAGGCTGAGCCACTGAGTCCAGCCAATTCTAAACTTAAAATTAGAAGAATAAATAAATCCTCACCCATGAGAGCTGTACAGCTTCCAAAAAAATTTTCTGTAAAACTAACCCAAGAGTATTCTATGACCCGTTTCAGACGTTTGTGTGTGTGAACTTTTAAACTGTTTTTAAGATGGTGCTTCTCACAGTTAACATGAATTTGATTTACTACTAGTACCTTTTTTTTTTTTACAAGATTTGAATATCTGACAAAAGTAAGCTGGGCTCAGTGGCTCAGCCTGTAATCCCGCACCTTGGGAGGCTGAGGTGAGTGGATTGCCTGAGCCCGCGA